TGCGAGAAAAGATTAAAGAACTATACCTTTCTAAGAGGAACCAAAGCTAGAAGCCCAACAAAACAACTAACAAAGAGGAAACCAGTCATCCAACCAATTGCAGGCTCCTTGGTGCTTCCTGGGGTATTCCCCTCAGTATCAACTCCAGCTTGCTCATAAGTTTTCTTGTTCAACCCCAGTAGATATGACCCAAACCCACCTAGAGTGAACAATCATCAACACAAATCACAACGAACCCAATATAATAAAATAAAAAGGAACTTCAATGACATGGCTTTCTTATCGATCCGTGCGTTTCTAAACATCAGATCATATCGTAAAAGTATGCAAATTTAATATACTCTATACTACTTTAGCCAACTCCACAAAACTCTCAAAAAGAAAATAATAGTAAACAAACAAAAAGCAAAAGGACTTTTTATGTGCAATATAAATATTTTTCAATTTCTGACCTCCAACAGCAATACTGTAACAAGCAACAGCACAAGTCTGGATTATGGTGTTCTCCTGCCTTGTGAAGGGACTTGACACAATCCCAGCCTTGTGAAGCAGCTTAGTCCATGTCCGTACGAGCACAAAGGCCAAGAGAGCTGCTGAGACATTGAGATTTGGGACCAAACCAGTTGTGAGGTTGAGCTTCATTACTATGACACTGTAAATAATCCCAATTATTAAGCTTGCAATTAGTCCTCTAATGGTGATCTGTTTCGTCCAAGGTGCAATTTTGTTCACATCTTCTTGTTCTTCTCCTCCTACTCCTCTCTCTTCCACATCCTCTCTTTCAAATCTCTCAATATCTGTGTGCTCTTCTTCCTCATGTGTGTTATTATTGGCCATTTTGACCAAAAAAGGGAGAGCTAAGCCTAGTTTCAAGCAAAATTCAATCAATATCACCAAAAGCTATAAACTTATATAGACGAATAAAATAATAAAATAAAACCCAGATATTAATGATCTTTACCTCAAATCTCCTCCTCTTCAAATACAATACAGATGGATCAGAATCTGGGAAATGGGTATTTATGGAGATATCTAGTTATCAAATATTGATTACCCAAAACGTCCAAAAACTGAACTGAGGAGTGAGAATTGAAAATACCCTTTGCTCTGCGTTGACTTGGAATAACCCTCCACAATGAAAAAAACAAGAA